AATAAAGTGAATATTCAGACTGGTAGCAAAATTGAGCTGCTCTTTATTTTTCTGAGCTGCCTTTTCTTCTGTAGACAGGATTAGAAGTATTCTAGCCTTAAAAGTCTTTTCTTTTATGTCATCTTTTACAGAGGGCTATATAATGAAAATAACAGTAGATAATATATAATAATATAATAAAAAAACCAAACTTCACATGTTTATACCTGGGCTTACTTAATGAACCTTTACATAGTTGGAAGGTGACTATTTTATGTATTTAATCCTGATTTTTATGTGTTCTAGGGCCACCACATATAAACCTTTGTTTTTTCAGAAAGGTGCTTATAGGTATAAATTTCCCTCAAAGCACTGCTTTAGATGCATTTTGTAAGGTTTAGCATGTTGTGTCTTTATTTTCATTCATCATATAGTGTTTTCTCATTTCTCTTGTGATTTCTCCCATTGGTTATTTAGGTGTTGTTTAATTTTTACATATTTGTGAATTTTTCAAATTCCTTCTTTGTTACTGAGTTCTAATTTCATTGTATTATGGTTGGAGAATATACTTTATATGACTTCAATATTTTAAATTTATTGAGATTTGTTTTATGACCTAGCATACGGTCTATCCTGTAGTATATTCCATGTACACTCGAGAATTTATATTCCGCTGTTGCTGGGTGGAATGTTGTGTAGATCTAGTTATTTCATAGTTTTGTTCAAGACTCCTATTTCCTTGTTAATCCTTTGTCTAGGTTATTGAAAGTGAGGTATTGAATTTTTCAGCTGTTGTTGAATCGTCTGTTTCCTTCATTTCTCTCAGTTTTTGCTTCTTGTATTTTGGTGCTATGGAACTAAGTGCATATATGTTTATAACTGTCATATCTTTCTGCTGGATTGACCCTTTTATTGTTATGAAATGTTCCTTTTTATTTGTAAAATTTGTTATTTTAGTCTGTTTGACGTTAGTATAGCACTCTTCTTATAGTTGCTGTTTGCATGATACATCTTTTTTCATGTTTTTACTGTCAGTCTGTTTAGATCCTTGAATCTAAAGCTTCTCTTGTAGACAGCATAACTTAGATCTTGTTTTTTATTCCAGTCTGACAGTCTCTGCCTTTTGATATGTTTATTTAATCTCCTCTCATTTAATGTTATTAACAGTTGGATTTGTGTCTTCCATTTTTTATCTTTTATGTCTCGTGTCTTTTTTGTTCCCCTGTTTATCCATTGCTTTTGCATTGGGTATGTAACATTTAAATTTCTTTTATGATAGTTTCACTATATTTTTGAGTTATTTCCATAGTAATTACTCTAGAACTTACCATCCATCTTATCAGATTCTGCATCAGATTCATGCTAACTTAATTCTAATGAGATACAGAAACATTGCTAACATTTACTTTTTGAAGTATATTCAGTGCATTTTTTGTGTTTATGTTTATTTTTGAGGTATTGGTGGTCTGTTTGATGCAGCTACAAAAATAATCTGGATATAAATTTTCTTTACAGTTAGAATCAAGAATAGAGGAACTTGATAAAGAAGTTAAAGCTTCCAAAGATAAACTAATAGCTCAAGATATCGCAGCTAAAAATGCAGTTCAGCAGTTGCATAAAGAGATGGCCCATCGGATGGAACAGGTATTTTTCAAGTCTTTATCATTATTAACTTTCTAATGATGCTCTCTTGTTTATTAAAGTATACTAATCCTGTTAGATGATTTTGGACATCAGTGGTGTATTAGGAATGGATAATATTATTCCTATAAAAATTAACTTTTTAAAAAATGCTAAAACAATACATAAATAATATGCTACCTACAAAAAATAACAATAAATTAAGGAAATGTGTAGAATAAAGAGCGAAAGCCCCCTTCATCTGTACTTACTTGTCCTTTCCTGCTCCCATTCCCTTTGCATCTCATTCCCTGCTCCATAGCTGATTTATGTTTTGGTTATGTATCTTATCTCAGACGAGTGTGTAAGTTACACACATTCCTATGCTCTCTTTCCTACTTGATTGGAATCTCACTGTACATCGTTGTTGTAACCTTGTTTCCCCTGCTGAATATCCCTAATCGTTTTAGTTGCCTGCTGAATCCTATTGGTTATCTTGTTTGTGCTTTATCTTCATTGAAGTCAGTGATAAAATATCTTAAACTGGTCAAAGCCAAAGACTTTACTGGCTCCTATTCCTTTATCTGTGCCATAAACAGACTGACAGCAATACTCCTAGCAATCCTGTGAAGGGAGTGCTGCCATTATTTGGGGTGGAACGTAGAAATGTGTGTGTGTAATAGTTTGAGTGTTTATTGGATGTGATTATCCGTTGTACCAGAACTTCAGGAAACACTTTTTCCCCAGACACTTTCATGAGAGCATAGGAGCTTTTCCTACATTTTCCTGACACTGTAGTGACTTCAGTGTAGTTACAGTGGCATTTACTACTAGATGCCATTGAAAATCCCTAAAGCTTAAGGTTTCATCTTCTACAAAGTAAATATATGCTTCATCATATTTGCAAACTATGAATTTACTTAAGTGAAGGGCTATCTGTAGAAGTTTTTATTGTATAAAATTTCATAATATGGAGTATCAGCTTACACTAATAGGGAAGTTGAGATGAGTATATAGATGTCGCACTTAATCCAATTGGGTATTTCTTACTACACGTGAAATGCTTTAGAAAACTTTTCCTATCTAGGAAATCAGATGATCATTAATTAGCATATTGTTACTTTTTTGCAAGGGAGCTAAGGTTATAGATTTTAGAAATTGTTAGTCATGCAGTAAGGGTCCTGGCAGAAAACAGAAACTGGTGACTTGAGGAGAATTTAATAAAAGGACTTTTTACAAAGGTATGGGGAAGATTTAGGTTGCCCAACAGGGGAAATGAAGGATCCTGGGGCTGCTGGTGGAGCCATTGTTGCTCTCTGGGCTAATGGAATTGGAGAGGGTACAAGGAGTACAACCCTGAGGTGATTGTATAAAGAAGGCATCTGACAGGAGCCAGTGGCCTTTGACCAACCTGTGGTGACTGGAGGAGCCAGATCTCCCTCTTACCTACCCTGCTGATCTTCTGCCTAGCGACTCCTGGTGGCTGAACCCAACTGGAAGTATGAGGGCAAGGAAACTTGATGTGGTGTTTGATGGCTGTTTTTCTGGAGCACAGGGTAGATAGGAAAGAATGGGAAAGTGGATCTGGAGGCGTAAACAGAATATAGCAGCCACACCAGCTAAGTAAAAGGAGTAGGGACAGGGAAAGTGAATGTCCCTGATATGCATTTGTTTACTGTATTGCTTGTCATTTTGAAGTTTTCCTTTTTAAAATTTCACAGCACAGGTCCTGGGAGTGTTGTTCCCAAACCAAAAAATACATTGGTATTATTAGAGAAAAATATTTTCTAAATTTATTTTTATTTGAAAAATATTTTTTATTAATGCTAGACTTTGTTTCCAAAGGCCAGTAAGAAATGTGAAGAGGCTCGCCAGGAGAAAGAGGCAATGGTAATGAAGTATGTAAGAGGGGAGAAAGAATCTTTAGACCTTCGAAAAGAAAAGGAGATCCTTGAGAGAAAACTGAGAGATGCAAATAAAGAATCTGAGAAAAACACTAACAAAATCAAGCTGCTCTCTCAGGAGAAAGGACGGTTGCATCAGCTATATGAAACAAAGGTATAACCCGTGATGCTGGGCCTGGTTTGAAATGCATTTTGTTTGCTTTTTCTTAACCAAATACTCATAATGTACCAGGGCTAAACTGCTGTTAAACATAGAGTTGTTCAAACCTCCTGAGTATGTGAATGCTTTTGTAACTCCAATATCTTGTTACCTGTCTGCAGAAAATTTTACTGGAAAAAAGATGAGAAATTGACATAGGTTCTTTATTAGGTAACTTTTTCTTGATAGATCTTTTAAAAACCTTTCTTATTAAATCTAAATGTTGAAGAAATGAGTTTGTACCTCACAGGAAGATTTTATTTTGGTAAGATATATGCATAGTACTGTCAAAGTGTGAATGGTTTAATAAGTATGTTTTGACCAGAATCCTAATGTAATATTTATCATAGGGTAGAATTTATATTTTTCTCATAAAAAAATATACTCTTAGATGCTGTCCAAGGAAATATACTCTTAGATGCTGTCCAAGGAGATATAATTACTGAGCTATTTGGAGCCCTTGCATTAAGTAGCAGCCTCATGGCATGGTCTCGTTTCCAGCAGATTATCACTTCTTGATGATGAATGTTATTTTTTATTAACTTTTCGTTCGGAAATGTCATTGTACTCAGGAATTCTGGCAAAACCAATTTAATTCGTATTTTACCTTAATGCCAGGTGGTTAAGAAGAATAAGCTTTGCTTGTACTTGCAACATATCCGGTTGGTTAAAATATATGTTAATTATCTCTCTTAACTGGATTTAGGATTTTACTGCCATCTTATGATTTGCACTTTAAATCAGTTTTATGGCGTATAGGTCATCATAATGTGCCAGCTTCTGAATTAGTGTTATTGTGTTATTTTGAGGAGGTATAAAAGATATACAAGTAATTGGTCCATTGTTAAATGAAAAATGTGACCTAGTGATATTATTTCAGGAAGCTGAAACTACTAGACTCACCAGAGAACTAGACAAATTAAAAGAAGATATCAACTCTCACATCATTAAAGTAAAATGGGCACAAAACAAATTGAAAGTGGAAATGGACTCACACAAGGTGAGTACTGTAATGCAGTGGAAATTATCAGGATCAGTTCTAAGAGCAAATTCAGTATTAGGTAATGAGGCATGACGTTTAATTTAGTGACTCTTCTGTAGGATAGCCTGACCCTGCATATTTGGTGATTGTGAACCTTAGATTTATCCTCGGGTTTTCTTAGTCACCGTATCTAGTCCCTTAGCAAGTCTTGCTGACTTTTCTCAAGTCTTTACCCATCTGTCACCTTCTCAGTGAAAGGATATTCAAAGAGCCGCGAGTGGTCAGAACTGGACCAGAGAAGGGAGCCTGGCTGGTGTTGCTCAGTGGTTGAGCATGGACCAGTGCACCAAGAAGTCAATTATTTAATTCCCAGTCAGGGCGCACGCAGGGGGCCGTGCAGGAGGCAGCCGATTGATGTTGATGTTTCTCTCTCTCAAATCAATAGAAACATATTTTTTTTAAAAAAGAATAAGAAGCAAGAAAAAGAAAACTATTGAATTTGATGAGAAAGTAGTCCCTGCAAATCTTCAGAATTGCTGTTTCAGGAGGGTGGTTAGGAAGAGAAATCAAACTGTATTACGAATCTGTAAAAAAGCAGTTTTGTAATAGATACCATGGCCATAAACCAAAGAATTATCTTCTATGTGTGTGTGCTAAGAACTATTTAGTATTTGCTCTTTTTGCTTTATCAGGTTAGTTAGTAAATTCTAGTGATTTACTGAAAATCTTATCAAATTTAGCTTTATTTAATGGCTTTTAGTTATTCAGCCCCTCAGTGGCAGTGCTGAGACAACTTTCCCTGCCCTGGTCATTGTTCCTACCATTCATCACATCATCGTGTCCAAGTCTGTCACTGTCTTTTTATCGATGCAGGAAACCAAAGATAAACTCAAAGAGACAACAACAAAGCTAACCCAAGCAAAGGAAGAAGCAGATCAGATACGAAAAAATTGTCAGGATATGATAAAAACATACCAGGTATGCTTTTCAAATAGATTAGTAACAAATTATGCCAATATCAGGACTCTTGTTTCATTAAATTTTGTATCTAACATTTGATGTGTGGCATGTATTTGGTAGGGCAGTTAAATAAAATACAGGTTATTTCCTAGGTTAAAGTACTTGTAGCTTATATAGAGATCTCATTAGAAAAATTTTTAACCAAATAAAAATACTAGAAAATGTAGAAGAATGAAGAGTACATGTTTGTAAATGTATAAGTTAAAAATAAAACCACTCTATATTATGTTACATATCTTAAGTATATTATTCTTGTTCTTGCAAAATTGACATATTTAAAATCTTCCAATGCAGTCATCATTTTTAGATATGTACCCTATGTATTTCTTAATTAGTACACTTCATTGCCAAGGCCTTCTTTACTCTTCAAAGTATAAAACTTAAAAAATTCTTTTTTCATTTCTTTTCCATTAGGAGTCAGAAGAAATTAAATCAAATGAGCTTGATGCCAAACTTAGAGTCACAAAAGGAGAGCTTGAAAAACAAATGCAAGAAAAATCTGACCAGCTAGAGGTGAGTAGTTTTGTTCTTTGTATGTCCTAGGCTGTATAATAAATACAGGAGAAGTAATGAGTGCTTATTGTCATCTACTTTTAAAGCCTTTGGGAGGAGCAGGATCTAGTTTAGTACATAACGATTTGTGGTTTCTTTGAAACTTTTTAAAAGATGCATCATGCCAAAATAAAGGAACTAGAGGATCTGAAGAGGACGTTTAAGGAGGGCATGGATGAGCTACGAACACTGAGAACAAAGGTAATCAAAGATTTCATTGTGACTCAAGAGGAAGGGTAAACATTTTAAATTTTGGACTCATTCTGATTTTTAAAATGTCGGGGAAAGGGTATCTATTTAGGAATTTTCCAAAATAAAAAAACTCATAGGAGTAGAATATCAGTTCCCTAGCAATAAAATGGACTCTTATTGAAATGAAAATGTCTTCTACTTCAACCCCTTTGAAGTGTTTGCCAAGCATTCCTGTGTTCTAACACATTTGCTTTATCTATAACTTATCCTTGGGCCTCTGATCCAAAGGCAGTGTTATCAGCAAATCTATTGGAAAGATAGTTGGACTTTAGAACTGTGAGTATGAGAAAATAATAGATAGAATTTCTCTATATTTCTCCTGGATATATTTAATAGTCTTGTATGCAATTTTAATTTCTAACAACTTACTAAATTCTTTCCAGTGTATATTGTCTTTATTGTAAGACTAGTATCCATTTTAATATGACTGTGAAACATTATCATTGTATATCATTCATTTATTTAGAAATAGGCTTTTAGGTAACTGCCTTGAGTTTGCAATCACTTAATAATTTTCAAAGTGTTTTCCACATACCCTTCTATTTGTTCTCCGTGCCAGTTCCTGGAGGTAGGTAGGGAAGACACCTCCTCTTTTCAGGGGAAGAAATGGAGATTCAGCGAAAATAAAGTGACATACTGAAACTCCCGTGACTAAGTCAGAGACTGACTCCCAGGACTCTCTAACTCCCCGTTATGTTTTCTTCACGTTAATTAACACTGTTTCAGATTAGTATATAATCACTACTTGAAATAGTTAATAAGGAACAAGAAAATATTGTTTGTGGTTTAGCTTGGTTATGATTTGTGATAGGTGAAATGCCTGGAAGATGAACGATTAAGGACAGAAGATGAATTGTCGAAATATAAGGAAATTATTAATCGCCAAAAAGCTGAAATTCAGAACTTCTTGGACAAAATGAAAATTGCAGATCAGATACAGGAGCAATATCAAAGGTATAAAATGAGCAACTTCTCTTTGTGCTAATCAATAGGCTTTTTAATTCTATCACAAGTTTCCTTTTTTAAATACAATTATTGCATTAAAAAAGAATAAGTTTATAATTTTACTGGCTAAAAGTTTTTAAATTTTGCTCTTCATTTGAACTTTTTTGGATTATCTTTGAAGTTCCCATCACGGCTTCTAAAATACAAAGTTTATATTCTCTAAACATTGGCAGTAGCAATTTATAAGACAGATGGGTTTTGGTTTCTTTACTTATTACTTAGCTTTCAAATTCTGTTACGCACAGTACATACTTTTCCTTCTAAAAGGTAGATATACACCTATATCTGTATCTTTGTATGTATGTAGCTTGAGGTCAGGTCTGAAATTATTCCTTGGCTTCTTATAAAACCCTTTAGCTAAACTCTACTCATGGCATTGCCTGGCAGAGCATGGATTCAGGTTGAGTCCAAATACTTCTCCTACCCTACTGATAGCCAGGCTGCTGAGCGTCGCTAAGGAAATCCTCACCATCACCCAGAGTGATGCTGCTCTAAGTTCATGGGTAGCCGCCTCAGCTGGGAATATTAATACAGCTCTCCTGCTGCCACGTGTCCTTAGAGCCTTGCCCTGACCATCTTAGCTTCTCTTCTAAACCTTACTTCTTTCCTTGCACTTCTCTTCCTTCTGACTACGTACCTTGGCAGACAGTTACCTCTGACTTCGCAGAGAAACTGGGAGCTCTCAGTTGGCAGTTGCCAAAACCTCTTGCTGTCAGGCCTCTGAGCTTGCCCGCGCCCACGGCCATTCCTCCTTCCATCAGTCCGGAGGAGCTGTTCCTGCGCCTCTGCGGATGGAGGATGGAGAATGGAGGATGGAGGCGTTCTCGGCCTCAGCTGGGGGTCCACGGCGCCTTCCCCGGGTCTTTGTTGGTTGCTCTTCCTGTTTATCCTCTCTGACCGCTCCCTTTCAGCTGACTGTTATATCTCAGGAACATCAGGCTCCAGTGACCTGCCTCTCTCCTTTCCTTCCAGCCCACGCGTCTTTAGAGGGCCATCTGTACTTGGCCTTGGTTTCTTCACGTCTTAGTCCGTCTAACCCTCTCCACTTCATTCTCGCTTCTTCCTCAGCGTCCCATTAAAAACGGCTGATGCCTCCTTAAATCTAGCAGGCACTTCCTCAGACGAAACCTTGCTTGAGCTTTCAGGATTAATACCACTAGCCCACTGTCTTTCTTGACACCCTCTGGCGTCACTTCACCCTCTGCCCTCCCGGTGCTCCTCCCCACTGCTGGCCACTTTCTCAGTGTCCTTGGCAGCCTCCTCATTCTGCCATAAAGCTCTTCTGTCCTTATTTTATTATCGCCCTGGGTGACCCTAACTATTTGCATAGTATGCGGCAGGACCTTCACGTTATTTTCAGCCCTTTTTGCTGAGCCCTAGACATGAAAGTCTCAAAGAAACCTCAAACTTAAAGATGTCCAAAATGGATTCATCTTTCCCACCCGCACCTGTAGTTCTCTGATGTTCCTCAGATGAGTGATGAGTAGCGTCCACATGGGACACCTCGGCTCTGTCTCCTTCCCCTCACATGTCTAACCAGTCACAAAGTATTTTCAATGCTGCCTCTTTAATGTCTTTCATTCTGTTTACATTTTATATTCCTGTTGCTGCTCCCATTGACCAAGCCATTATCAGCTCTCATCTGCAAAACCGCCACAGTTTCTAAACTGTTTTTCCCCCCCTTCCCTTTTAATCCATTTCCTACACTGTGGTTAACATAATCTTTTAGAAAAGGAAATTTTCTCAAAACCTTTCGATTATTGCTTAGTGAGTCCAGGTGCCATGACATGGTTTGGAAGGTCATTAGTGACCTGTCCCTTGCTCCTTCCTCTGTGCCTTCTCCTTTTCCATTCTTGTGTTCTAGCAGTAGTTGGTTAACAAATGTTGATTGATTGTCACCTATGTGCCAACCCCTGTATTAAGGGCCAGGGATATGGTGCAGTCCTTAGTCTCATCATTGCTGAATATCTGTTTGGCTCGCAAGCCAAATCCAGCCCACTGCTTCTTTTCATATATTGCATTTGGAACACAGCCACGCTCATTCCTTATGTATCGTCTGTGGCTGCTGTCACATGACAGTGGCAGAGTCAACAGTTACAACAAAGGCCATATGCCCCAGAAGCCCAAATCGGGTACTGTCTGGGCCTTTTACAGGAGAAGTTTGCTAACCCCCACTTTAAGTATTAGTTCAAGCATTACTTACACTAGGTTCGGTGACCTGTTTGGTGCTTTATCATAAAAAATGCTTTATCACACATAATTTCCCTGCCTGACAGAAAACTTGGAGCTCAGGGGCCACATTGGTTGCGCTCCCTTATTTTCCTAGAGCTTAGTTCCTCGCATGTGTTAGTCATTCTCGAATAGAAGTACCTTTATAAAACATTTCCTTCAATGAAAATTCCCAAACCATTAATTTAATGTCCGTTAATGGTTTAATTTCTTTTCTTAAATATAAACTTTGTTTTTTAGAGGTAAACAAGAAATTGAAAATTTGAAGGAAGAAGTGGAAAGTCTTAATTCTTTGATTAATGACCTACAAAAAGACATCGAAGGCAGTAGGAAAAGAGAATCCGAGCTACTACTGTTTACAGAAAAGCTCACTAGTAAGAACGCACAGCTTCAGTCTGAATCCAATTCTTTACAGTCACAGTATGATAAACTTTCCTGTAGTGAAAGCCAGTTACAAAGCCAATGTGAACAATTGAAACAGACAAATACCAACTTGGTAAGTATAATCATACATTTAACACGCAAAGCAGCATAGCGAGAGGCATAGATTAGATTTCCTTACTGGCATAAACCTGGGGTCATTGGTCTAAGCTTTTTTTTATTGGGACGGACTGTCTAGTCATTTCAAATGCTGTGAGAAATGTCAGTTTTCCCTTTGACTTATGATATTTATAATAAAATTTTCCCCTAAAATGGTTATGAAGAAGTATTTCACTTTTGAAAACAAGAAAATCAGGGTTTTTGTCATTCCTAACTGGAATTACTATATAGTTTTTAAAAGTACTTTACATTTTTATATTTTTGTACTTTAAAAATGGTTTAATAGTTCCAAGTTATGAGAGTACCTTTAAGTTACTTATAAAAATAATTTGAGACTTTAGTTAAAAAATATGGAGACCTGTATCACATGGTGTTTTGCATGTATGGGATGGCATACGTATTAATGTATTCCCTGCGTTACTATATGAAGAATTTGAGGAGCTCAGTAAACAAAACCTGGGAAGGAGTGATGATGAGAGACTCTACTATCAAGGACCTTGTTTTTTTTGTGTGTTTCTTCTTAAATCCTCACCCTAGGATATTTTTTTCCATTGATTTTCAGAGAGAGAGAGAGAACCGATATGATAGAGACACATCGATTGGTTGCCTCCCGCACATGCCCCAACAAGGGATTGAGCCTGCAACCGAAGTACATACCCTTGGCCGGAATCGAACCCAGGACCCTTCAGTCTGAGGGCTGATGCAATAACCACTGAGCAAAACTTGCTAGGGCAAGGACCTTGTATTTTAATGCTTTAAAGTATGAGAATTAATAGAAACATACAAGTCACCTATTAAAATTGGTGTTTTTTGTTTTATCTTAATTTAATGTTTAGGAAAGTAGATTGTTGAAAGAGGAAGAACTGCGAAAAGAGGAAGTCCAGACTCTGCAAGCTGAACTCACTTGCAGACAAACGGAAGTTAAAGCACTGAGTACCCAGGTCGAAGAATTAAAAGATGACTTAGTAACTCAGAGACGTAAGCATGCCTCTAGTGTCAAGGATCTTACCAAGCAACTTCAGCAAGGTATGAAGTTCTTCCACACCTAGACCTGGAATGTTTTTTGTTTCTTTTAATCATTAGGATTTATAGGAAAATATATTTTTCACACCAGGTTCTGCCACATTGATTAGAGCCTTATGTTCTTTTTAATGTGTTAATGTAAACCAAATTGCTGAACTTGTTGCAGTTGCATGAATAGTCTGTAGCATCTTCTGTGTTAAAGGACATTTATTCATGGCACTACAAAGTGTAAGAGTTGGAAAAGTACCTTAAGGCAGTAGTGTCAGAATTTTTTTGATCACATACTCCTATTGGTAAAAATTACTTAAGCATTTTTTCTCCAGTTTATATATCTTTATAAATTTTAAACATGTATTCTATTTGATGTATATTAGAAAACAGGAAAAATGGAAATTTTAAAAGGTCAGATTATAAGTCTTAATAGAAGTTCTAATATTTTCTCCCTATACATGTGTATGATTGTTTTGTGCAGCATCTTTGGTACCTTCATCCATCTGGTAGACCACTAACTTAGAGATCCGTGAGACCTAACCTTTCATTGTACAGGAAACTGAGACCCAGAAAGGTTATATATTAACCAAACACAGCGGTTAACAACCAGAACTGGAACCCAGATTCCTTTCATTTAAAAATTCATGCAGTTATTGGGAGTCTGTGCTGTGTGCTTGGGTACAAAGATGAATGAGAAATGTATTCTTCCTGTTTTCTCCTGTTTCCCTCTGCTTTATTTGTGTCAAAGTGAAATGAAATATAGTAATAAAAGAGACCTAGCATTTACTTAATATAAATATATTCAGATATTTGCCATGAGATTCAGTTTGTTTTTATAGATATAATGAAGAGAAATGGGGAAATTTCTGGTACTCTTTTACATCTTTTGGGACTCCAAGAGTTATGCACAGTGTGCTTAAGTGATGCCAGCCAGTATCGGTTGTTATCATAATGTTGTTTCTAAGGTGTTTTTTTAATTGATTTTTACTTTATTTTATTAAAATATATCTTTATTGATTTCAGAGAGAGAAAGGAGAGGGAGAGAGAGAGATAGAAACATCAGTGATGAGAGAGTCATTGATCAAGCCCCAACCCGGGCATGTGCCCTGACCGGGAATCAAACCCCGATCGTCTGGACCCCAGGTCGACGCTCAACCGCTGAGCCACGCCCGGCTGGGCTAATTGATTTTTTTTGAGAGAGAGAGAGAGAGACAGACAGATATCGATGTGAGAGCAAATATCCATCAGCTGCCTCCTGCACGCCCCTGACTGGGGATTGAGCCAGCAACCTGGGCATGTGCCCTGACAGGGAATCAAACCTGCAGCCTTTTGGTGCACAGAATAGGGCGCAACCAGCTGAACCACCCCGGCCGGGGCATAATGTTGTTTCTATAGATGTTGTATTTGACCTGTGCATTTCTAGATTTCATTTTATATGAATGATACCTACAGCCTTCTTGTCCAAAGTATATATTCAAGAAATTTCTCCCCATTTTTGCCATTTTGGCCTAAGTGATTTAAGCACTTAAAACCAGAGGTATTGGGGGCAGGTGGTCATGATAATTGTCACAAGTAATCCATTCCCTTTTTCTCTAGCACGAAGAAAGTTAGATCAGGTCGAGAATGGAAGCTACGATAAAGAAGTCAGCAGCATGGGAAGTCGTTCTAGTTCATCAGGTAAAAAACCAGTGGTTTTAGTTATTTAGTGATTGATTATAAAAAGAAATAGCATATTTTGTTCTATTGAAATATTTTTCTTTCATTTGGAATTTTAAAAAGTGGTGGTTGTACATAAAAAATATTTCCAGTTAAATGTTTAGGTTCTAATCATTATCCATAGGGTTTCAAGTTTGTCTTGTGGTTCTTTTTTCTTTTTTCTCACTCTAGAATGTAAAGCTCTTTTTAGTTAAAGTATAATGGACACATAGTATTATATTAGTTTTGGGTGTATGTCCGTGGTTCTCTGTCCTCTCTTCCCCTGCCTCCCTTACCTGCTTCTTCTCTGTTTTGTGTAACAACTTCACCTTCCGTTTTTAAATTTAGATTTGTACCCATCCCTACAGAGAGATTTGCTGTACTGTGGTCTCTCTTTTTCTTTTACCTTCATATTACTTTTAACACCTGAGAACTAATGAAATGACCATCATTATATATCAGATTTTTTTATGTATATACACATATGTATTTTCTAAATATTAGCTTTTCTCATGGTAACTATGCCAATGGTCTAAAGCAGAAATGAATAGTCTATGAAATTATGATTTATAATATTGTGAAAATGGTAATGAGCAAAATATCAGTGCATTTATCATTTTTGGAATGCCAGGAACCATGCTCAATGCTTTAAGTGTATCATTTACTCTGCAGAAGTCCTGTGGTGTGTTATAGTTCCCACTTTAAAGAGTGTTTCCATGACTTGCCCAAAGTCCACAGTGACTGAGCTCTCAGATTCTAGAGTCCTTGCTACACTGCTCCCAGGAGTTGCATATTAGGGGGGAAACATCATCAATTGTTACAGTAGTGGGAAAATTGTGTAGTAGAAGAAACATGGGTTTGAAATTGCACATAGATATTTAGATCCCAGCTCTGCCATTTAGTATATGACGTTAGATAAGATACACTACCTGTGAAAATCTACAGAATAGGGTGAAAAAAACCTCATCTTTGTCAGGTAAAAGGCTCAAAAATTCTTTGCAACTGATGGTGATAAAAATAATAGCTAACACTCACTTAGAGCTTACTGTGTGCGTTGTTATAAGCACTTCACCTGTATTAACTCATTAAAATGAGGACAGTAACCCTGTGAGGTGAATGATGTTATTCTCATTTTCAGATGAAGTGATCAAGGCACAGAAAGTTAAATAACTTGTCCAGAGTTTCACAGCTAGAAAGTGGGATTTGAACTTGGGGAAACCTGGCTCCTGAGCTTAACCCACTTTGCTGTATTCTGCTCTCTCTGTATCTGTCTGTCTGTTTTTCTCGGTTTAATTTTGGTCTTACTTCAGACTTGCTATTTCTGACTTTTGTTGAGTTTCTTGTTTCTCTGTTGACACTTCTCTTCCTATTCCTGAAAGACATACTAGATCTTTTTGTACTTCTATCATCAGTATATTCAGAAATAAGAAGTCAGGCCAGGTATGACTTGTGTAGGGTTCTCTGCCCAACTCTGTTAGAGTGATACTTGAAAATCATACTAGAAGAAACAATATGGGGTTAGAGATGACTGTAGACCAGGTACGATATCTAAACTTTTTTTTGTCTTTAGGGTCCATTAATGCCCGAAGCAGTGCAGAAGATCGATCCCCAGAAAATACTGGGTCTTCCGTAGCTGTGGATAACTTCCCAGAAGTAGACAAGGCCATGCTGATTGAGAGGATAGTAAGGCTGCAGAAAGCACATGCCCGGAAACATGAAAAGATAGAATTTATGGAGGACCACATCAAACAACTGGTAGAAGAAATTAGGAAAAAAACAAAGTATGTATTATTATGGTAACCTAGTCTGTGTTCAAAATACCATTATTCAGATGGTAAAGTTACTGTTTTCAAGTTAATCATAGGACCTTGAGGTCCTATCTTTAAAAAAATAATTCTTAATTTTAGTCATTTATTTCCCAGCCTTTTGCTGATCACTTACTGTGTTCTAGGTTGGGATACAGAGGTGAAAGAACACACAGCTCTTTCCTTCAGGGGATAAAAGACTTCAGTAGACATTAATGTTTTTTTAAAGTTCTTAGGCTATTAATCCTCTCATGAAAAATCTGCACAGTCACCATAGATAGTCACTGAAGAGTCTTCACTCCTGTTATCCCATTTCTGGCTCACTTTCTGCAGCACCAGTGCTGGCCTTTGCAGCCTCCCTGACTTTCTTCATGCTGTTCCTGCCCTTTCTCTGTTTTCTTGAGATTGTTTTCTCATACAGGCCATGTCTTGCAAGTCTATGTTTGGGTTCATTCTTCTTTGCATAATCCAAGGAATCATAAATCATGCCAACACCAGTTGTCTTGCCACCAGCAGAATGGGTTCTGAATCCCAACACAAAGGTGACATCTGCTGTGGCCTTAGACATTTTGGATAGTTTTTCCCGAATTTCTGTCTAAGGTACTGTTGCCTTCCCAGCATGAAGGACATCAGTGATCATTTGCTTCCGCTGAAGTCGTCTATTGGTCATGAACTTCCTGGTCTGGATAGTTACTGTGTCGTTCATGATGGTGGACGGTCAACATTAATTTAAGATATTAAAATAACTTTGAACTTAAAAAAAGAAAGTGCTCTATTTAGATCTCTATTTTTATGACTGTGAGATTCTAAGAGATATGTAGTGTTGTGAATTATCTTTCCTATTGGGTAGAACATGGGTAATTTATTGGGCACCTACTAAGTACAAGGCGCACGGTGCCTGTTGACTTAACAATACAGTTACCTCATTGATTCCTTACATCTGCTCAGGGAGAGAGTGAGTTCTCTAATTTGACAGATAAGCTACCAGAGGCTCAGGTCAAATCACTAAATGTTCTAGACTCAGCACTCACCCTACAGGTGATGGACGGAGAGTGGCGAGCCACATGCCGCTCTGACACTCCAGAACCTGTGCTGTGCCCGATTCCTTACAGATACCATGTTCTTTAAGAGCTTTTACATTGCAGTCTTCACCCTTGACTTCTTAATTTTTATTTTGAAATAATTGAGACTTAGGGAAAAGTTTACCCATGACTTTTAAAAGAAAAAGTAAAATAATAGTTCTAAGTTTAATAAAAGGAAAATTGAAAATATTAACTGAAATGGGAGCAAAACAGCTCAAATATTTTCTTTCTTTTTAAAGATTTTTTAAAATTGATTTTTGGAGAGAGAGGAAGGGAGAGGGAGAGAGAGAAACATTAGTTGGCTGCCTCCTGCACGCCCCCTACCCGGGATCTAGCCCAGAACCTGGGCACGTGCCCTGACCAGGATTAGAAGTGGCCACCTCTTGGTGCACAGGACAACACTCAACCAACTGATCCACACTGGCCGGTGCACAGAATTTTTTATTAAAGTAATAAGGAAGGAAATAGAAAAGCAGTGTTTTTCTATCTTTAGGAAACCATCTGAATAAGGAAAATTCCTTTATTTTCTAATATAGTTCTGTTATTAACCTGGTAGGTATTTATGCTAGTCATCTGTATGCTTATGATTGGGCGACTCTTGCAAATTCCGGCATTTTTAATTCTGCAGGCACGTAACCGATAGCATTGTTTTATTTTGCAGGATAATTCAGAGTTACATTTTACGGGAAGAGTCTGGCACCCTTTCTTCAGAGGCGTCTGATTTTAACAAAGTCCACTTGAGTAGACGGGGTGGCATCATGGCATCTTTATACACGTCCCATCCGGCCGACAGTGGACTAACGTTGGAACTCTCCTTGGAGATCAACCGAAAATTGCAGGCTGTTTTGGAGGATACGTTACTAAAAAATATTACTTTGAAGGTATTTGTATTTCTTGTTCACTTACCCACCAGCAAACATGGCAGAATGCTGCCTCTTTCATAGTTTGATCCAGCACATAGGTGGACTGTTTCTGTAATGAGAGGGAGCCGTTTTACCCACAGTTACAATTTTTGTGGTGGTCTCTTTCTGAAAAACACAATTTTTAAAAATAGCAATGAAAGAAAGAAATAGTAAAAAACAGTTCAGCTATTTTTTTTTCAATTGCAGTTTACATTCAGTATTATTTTGTATTAGATTCAGGTGTACAGCATAGTGGTCAGACAGTCATATACTTTACAAAGTGGTCCCCTGATATTTCCAGCACCCTCCTGGCACCATACTTAGTTATTACAATATTACTGACTGTATTCCCTGTGCTGTGCTCTACATCCCATGACTGTTCTGTAACTACCGATGTGGATTTCTTAATCCCTTCATCTTTTCCTTGCAGGCCCCCAAACCCTCTCCCCTCCAGCAACCATCAGTCTGTTCCCTGTGTCTATGAGTCTGTTTCAATTTTGTTTGTTCGTTTATTTTGTTCTTTAGATTCCACATATAAGTGAAATCATATGGTATTTGTCTTTGTCTGTCTGTCTTATTTCACTCAGCATAATACTCTCTAGGCCCATCCATGCTGTTGCAAATGGTAAGACTTCATTCTTTTTTATGGCCGAGTAGTATTCCATGGTATTTATGTGCCACAGCTTTTTTATCCCCTCGTCTATTGATGGGCCAGTGTAGCTATTGGATAGACACTAATATGAGTTGTTTACTTTGCTTTTGACATGTACTATAATTAGTTAAAATTGATTACTGAGATATTTGTTAAGATTGAGGCATTTACTTTCTAATGTATTTTCTAGCTTTGTTTTATTTTTTGCAGCTATTATCTGACCAAACTGTTCTATTTGTGCTGAGTTTGAGCCTTGATAGTTAGTAATGGATTTTAAAAAATAATTTTTTAAATTTAGTAATAATTTTATGCAATAAAATTTGCTGTAGCTTCAGTAAAAAGGTCAAGTGTGACTGAAAATAGCTGTGTGCCTAGTTTGTTTCATATAGCATTTAAGACTAATCATCACTTTTCAAAATTTAGGCAAAAGTAGTTCAAGCAAAATCTTTTTTACTTCTTATACTTAGTAGTTCTGTTCTCTTTTTGCTCCTTTTTTCAAATGGTTAAAGGAAAATCTGCAAACACTTGGAACAGAAATAGAACGTCTTATTAAACACCAGCATGAACTAGAACAGAGGACAGAGAAAACCTAACACAAAACTGCTGCTTGGAAAAGAAATAGAAGCCACACAAGGAGATGTCACTACCCAGGATTGTTGGAAACTTCCCCTGCTTCATGTATCAGCCAGTAAAAAATTTGATTTGTTTCATCTGTATAGAAAAATATCCTTTTACATTAGGAATGCACTGCAGTGTATCCTGTAAGAGTGTAGACTTGATCAAATTTGTTTTTGTATGGTGACAGCCCATCACTGAATCAAAACAGCTTAATTTAATTCGCTAAGAGTCATATGAAGTGCTCAGCATTACAAGGGCTTTTGAAATTCCTTCTCCATATTTTTTCCCTTTAAAACACGTAGTATCAAAAATGATTTCATTTTTTTAAATTATGCATGAAAGGACCAGTAATATGCTATTTCCCTTACTTGAAGAATACTAAAAAATAAAAAATTTTGTTTTGACATTCCAATATAACATTTGATTGCATTTTAAAGGGGGATGCCAGTCATCATAAATCTTTTCATTTTAATGGAAACTAATAGGAAAGCTAGCTGTGGTAACTTGCAGTGTATGTACCGTATCTGGGCTAGTTACTTTTTTCAAATTCAAGTTGTTTGCATTCATAGTTGAGTTTTTTACATCTTCAGTTACATAAAATATGATTTTAAATAACATGCTCATTTAGAAAATTCCTGTGAACTTCAGTTATATTTTAAAATGTGAAATGGATTAGTTAGTGAAACAAAGAGATGAATAATGAATTCTTTGAAACAGAAATACTTCAGTTTTACTCATATCAAGTGTAAAGGTAAATGTTTAAAATATTTATGAAGAACCTGTTCCCAGGAGAGTGCACCCATTCTGTGCTGTTTGCACACCCATTCTTTATATTGGTATAATTACATATTATAGTGGAGTGATCTTACCAGTCCTAAATATGAGGTGTTTCAGTATATTTATTTAAAGCACAAAATAATTACTTCTCTGTAACCAAAGGAATTTTAGAGCCAAATTTATGTATCCTATTGGATTTTTACAATATTTATTTAAGATGTGGCAGCTTAAACGTTGTCAGTCATATAGTATCAGTATTTCTATGTCATTGGATTTTTTCTTCTTATAATTTCTCACCTGTTAGTTAATTTCTGTGTCTGGTTTTTCGCAGTTCATTATATTTTTGTCTTGCAGCAAACTTCATTTTTGTTTTGGATTTTTGCTTTCTTTTTAAATCATCATTGTTTAAAAAGATAATTTACTAAGGATAAGATGATTCATTATATTATTTTTTCTATATATTGAGTTATAGATTGTCATCCAAAACCAAAATCTCACTTCGAAATGGAAATACAAGTTTAAAAATGTTTTATTTTTAAAATAGCTGTAAAAAGTATTAGTCTTACCATAATGTGTCTTGTTCTTTTTACCAATAATTTGTCAAAATCAGAGGGTAAGTGCAATCAAATCTGAATTATTTTTCCATTTGCTTCTAGAAATATTGTTGATATTCCCAAAGACTACTTAGAGTAGCCAACGTAACTAAATTTTTACGGCTGCTTATGTGATACAGATTCAAACGCTATAATATTCTTTTTCTCCTAAGACACAAAATGTATTAATGGAGACCAAATAGAGATCTGATCTAGTGTCATACGCCTGTACACTTTTAAAATATATATACACACTTATTACATACAAAATTGAAACATTCCAATATTGACATTTGTGCACCATTCATGTCAAGTTTCATTTTGAAAGAATTATAGAAGAAAGCTACTGTAAACCATATTTTGACTTATTGTTACTCCCCCCCTCCCAAATATAAGAAACTATGGAAAACTTTTGAAGAAAATACTTAATTTTCCTTTTGCTCTAGTTTCTACGGTATTTTTTTTATATGGATCAGGACTGAACAAAATGTACAAAAGTGTGCATAGCTCAGATTTTTTCTCTGCACCTATTCACAACAGCTCCCGACTTAAGGCTGTAGAGGGCCTTCTTCCCTTGTTGTGCTGAGTATGTGGAGAGGAAAATGGTCTGGAAAACCTCAGAGCTGTGGACATTTTTTTATATGTTCATTATGAACTGGACACATCAAAGTCTGTTTTGGTTAGTTGGTACAATTTTTATTTCTTTGAGCAGGAAATGGTTTTGTGTGTGTGCGTATGTTTGTATACACTTTACCAGGTATCAGTTTTAAAGTGCATACTTACTGTGACTCCCTTTTTTCCCCGTACCCCTTCAAACTTCAGCCTGTTAAGTTTTAAGGATTCAAAATAGTGGGTTTGAGCAGAATAGTGAGTGTGAACTTTGGTGTTTTCTTTTTAACTTTCTTCATCACCATTTAAAACAATTTACCTTGAAATTAAATTTTACCAGGCTACCAACATGTTACTTATTTGCTTAATAAACACATTTATTGAAAACCTGCTATTGCCAGGCTGCCTACCGGGTACTGTGATTATACTGAACAGGCCAGACAGAGCAGTTCCTGTCCTCCTGGAACTTAGGGTCTAGTGACACTCTCCGGGAGGAAGCAGGGGCGCTGTGGGAAGAGGGTTGTCCACCTTTGGAAGTAGGTGACCCAGGATTCTCACTCTGGCGTGCAGCTGTGGGAAGTGAATCCTAGCAGATTGCTGTTTTCTTGGTAGTTGTACACATTTCCATACTTTTGTCACAGTTTGGTGTTTAATTATTCCTTAAGAAAAAGGAAAAAAATCCAAAGACCATAAAGTAGCATTCGATTTTTTCATTTTAGCCCTTTGCGGTCGTTTGTCTACTCTCAGCCACCAAAGCTTTTTTACCGTTCCGGTCCTATGTCTGTTCTCAGCCACCACAGCAAGGAACCGTACGAATCTTAACTCTATTCATTCATGTATCAGTTCATAATTTCTCTTGTTTATCCTTCATAATCTTGCATGTTATGTATCACTGCTCTTTCAATGGAAATTAATTCCGACCAGTACGACACCCATGTCCAAATTTAATACGACTGCAAAGGGTTAGTAAATTATTAATGCCTAATCGATGCTCGCAAAGATGACCTAATCATGTTGTCACGTGTGTTTCCGGACTTCGTTTTGCAGTATATTATTTTCTAAAGATTTTTGCATATAGATTCAGACCAATATTTACCAGTAGAAGAAAAAAAATTAGAAATCATGAATATTGTAAATGTTATATATGCTACCCTGGTGGAAATCTTTTTATCAATCATGTTATTCAGTATGTTAATTTGCCTATGAATGTTGACTCCAGTAGCTTATTTTTCAATAACTTGTTTTAATTTTTAAACAAAACAATTCTTTTCTGACACTAAGATTGTTAATTTTTAACACCAGTTGGTGGCACTAGAAACCTAAAAAATTTTCAAGGCTGAACAAGAGAAAATACTTGAAAAAAGTATCCAAACATCAAGAATTTTCAGGAAAATAAAAGTATAATTGTATATTAAAATTGTATTTTTCTTCTGGAATGAAATCCTTTTTTAAAATGCAACATGGCTGTCCGTTTAGACTGCAATGATGAAAGTTGTTTATCTTCCAAGGTTCACATATATATATATATAGATATATATACTTGTGCATTGTACAGATAATCTCTAATTTGATTACACTGTTCATTTTGTAAATATGTTTCTGTATAAAATTAAGTTTTTCAAGAGATTCTATGTATATATTGTACTTATTAAATAGGTAATGCCTGTTTACCAAGTCGTATTTTAATGTCATCTTTGATTATTTATTGACACACAGCACTTACTACACAGACTGATTCTCCAGACTGTTGGCAAGGCTGATTCAAATTACTTGAATTTCTTTTTTAAACCAGACTAAAAATTTTTGCTTCCCATGTTTGTCTTTAGTCTATCAATTATTAGAAGTCAGTGAACAATAGTAGGAAGATTAAATTGAATGCTAGGTTTATATTTTTTATTTTTGTTTAAATTACAGATGGCAAACTGGGTTGTGGGCTCGATCCCCAGGAGGGGGTGTGCAGGAGGCAGCCCATCAGTGACTCTTATCATTGATGTTTCTATCTCTCTCTTTCCCTCTCCCTTCCTCTCTCTGATATCAATAAAGACATTTTTAAAAAAATTCTAAAAAAATTAATTACTGATGGCAAAATTTGGCCTTTTTCAAAAGGCAGATTTTCACATGCTTATGTGGGAAAATTTCTCATTGAACTTGATGAGCCGGGAATACAGGGTAGGGCAAAAATGGCTTTACAGTTGTGAGTACGTGAAACAAAGTTTATTCTTGTATTTTACTTTATATTCTCCTGTTTCTAAAAATTTTTTTTCAATGAGTATGTAGTATTTTTGCTATCGTTAACTTTTAAATTTTTATTCTAAGAATCATGGCCAGTGTGGTCCAGTTGGTTGAATGTCGTCCTGTGCACCAAAAGGTTGCTGGTTTGATTCCCAGTCAGGGCACATGCCTGGGTTTCAGGCTTGATCCCTGGTAGGGGGTGTGTAGGAGGCAGCTGATCGATATTTTGCTCTCTCGTTAATGTTTCCCTCTCTCTCAAAATCAATAAAAAATACAGATTTTTAAAAGAATGCATAGTAAAAGAAGGGGTTGGAGATAGTGTGTATATGTGTATATTTATTATCTGAAAAGATCCAACCGTTCAGCTTTCCCATTCTCTGTAGAGGTCAAGTTTGGAAAGAGAAAGAGGTAGACAGTGACGGGTGTCGCCACAAAGGAGCAACCTTCACTTGAGCAGCTTCCCCTGAGAAGATCTATAGCCCAATTCCAGTTGCAGGCCTTTGTATCTCTTCAGACAGCTCCCTAGGGGCCACCCGGAGCCTAATCCCATTGCTGAAGGCGGAAGGCTGGGCACAGCAGCTTATTACGGGGACATACACCAGAGGCATAGAAGTGCCCTCCCCTCCGCTCCTAGGGCTCCTTAGGGCCGACCCCATCCTCTGGCACGGCCCCGGGCGTCAGCAGGGGGAGTGTTTGGGTGGCTGGAGCTTTGAACTTGAGACCTGTTTTTCATTCTCACACGGATCCTGGCTGGGTGGCTGACCCCTTTGTAGGAATGAGGAAGGGGTTGGGATTTGACGGACAATAGGGAGACGCAGGCCTGAAGTGCAGCCTCACCTCCGGGGTGAGGGGGTCTGAATGTGCGGTTCCAGCCTCACTCGCTAGTACCTAGTACCTAGTACCGAGCAGGGGCTGCCCATCCAGACCGGAGGCAGACGGGTAGCTGGCCTCTGAGCACAGTACCCCTGCCCCGTGGTTGGCTGTCGGTCTCCTAAGTTTAAGAAGCTCCATTGTCAATATTTTTAGTTTCCGAGGGCTTTCAAAGCAATCTGTACCTGAAGCACTGCTCCTAAGTAAAATAATTTGTATTTTGATACGGCTCAGGCTCTGTTTGCTGCCGCTAGGACTTGTCCATTACGCTAAGCAAGATGCACCTGTAAAATAATTTTTTTTTTTATTCTCTAAAAAAGTATTGCCCAGATAGACCCAAAATTTCAAGGCCAGATACAGTTGCTGACTTATATTTCTTACTCTAGTCCAATTAATTGGCATGAATCAAATGTCTGATGCAAAAAATGCATAGAAGATACAAGGACATATTCAAGTAGGAATCTACAAAATTAATCATACAGGTACAACTGTTCGCTGCCCGGTACATAATCATTAAAAAGAGAGAAAACCAACCTCAAATGACACAAGTACAAGTTCTTCTGGACTGTGTTCCCCTTAATATTACTAATTTTGACCATTCTCATTACTCTGTCCTCAGCAGGGTGCCCTTTTTTCTAAATGAAAGCTAATTTAAAATGATTTAAGGAGCACCCAGGGATAGCAAGAACATCTAACACAGTTAAGCAACACTTAGCCTTGAGACGCACGTGGCTTTAAGCATCGAAAGGCACAAAGCTAAGTGATTTTGTTCATGTCGAATCATTAAGAAGATCATTGTCTGCCGCTTGAAAATTTGTACATTGAAAATTATTTTTATGCTGCCACATTTTGCTTAAGATTTTTAGTTTCAGTGTTTCTTTTTTTTAAAGTTTTGTCAAAATAAAAGATGTTTAGTAGTTAAGACAGTGAGGTTCCTAATTCATTTGATTGCATACAAGGGGCTGAGTGTCTGTTGTGGGATCTGGGCTCATTTCACTTTCCGCCGTCTACCACTGACACGTCCTTTCCGTGGGACGGTCCCGGGGAGTCTTCGCCAGGGTTTTCTCATCTGGAACGGGCTCCGAGTGTTCCACACGTGCCACTTGCTGCCCGGCCTCTGCTTTTATGTTAAGAAGCCCTTGACATAGGTGATAGGCCGTGCAAATATGACAACCACCTCCCGGAATAAGGCTGGGTTGCTTTTTAATGCTGAGAGACCTTATATTCATTGGTGGCGATGAGCTTGGACTATTAACCAAGCAATTTGGCCAACTCGATGAATTAGGTAGGAGAAGTTTTGTACCATCAACAAGTCCAACGGCAGGGAGGTGACACGAGCTTGAACGAAGCTGTGGTGAAATGATGAGCGTGGACACGGTGGACTCAGACCTCCTGGGTTTGATCCCTTGATCAAATTGCTTGACCCTTTGTGCCTCAGTTTCCTCATAAGCAGAACGGTGGCGACAGTAGGTGCTCTCCTTGTGTTGTCATGAGATTCAAATGAGACAATGACCGCAGAGCCCATAGAGAGCTCGGTCGCATGGTGTGAGTGCTGAGTGCATGTTCGCCGTTGGCATGGTCGAGAGTTCAGGGCACTGACGGTGAACTTGGCTCTTCCAGGCGGGAGAACAGTGCAAGGCTGTAGGCAAAAGACTACATTCGGGCAAACAGTGCGAATGGTGCAGGCGCAGCCGTGGAGTGACTGTGGAGCCCCTCCTCTCCAGTGGTAAGGACCGGGCGGGTGTGTGTGTGTGTGTGTGTGTGTGTGTGTGTGTGTGTGTGTAGTCTTTGTCACATTATTATGAAGGTGAAGGAACAAGCTGTCACCTGACAAAAGTGATCAGGTAAAGTAGCTTCAGGTCATCGCCCAACCCACCCGCATAGAGCCGAAGTCACTTCTCATTGATCTTATCTCTGATGAGCTTTAGGAGGGATTTTTCAAAATGTGTTGAGTTAAAAAGACAATTCACTAGAGTCTTGCAGATTAGTCTTCCCAGACATAGGAACTCCTGGAAAGCTCTGTGGGACTTCAGTGTAGGCTCTGAGTGCCACTAGGGGGCAGAGGAATGCTGTGGGACCGGCCATTCATCACACATGACGGGGCGCCTCTCCCTCTCACCCTCATCACAGGGCCCTGTCTGCAGGATCCTGAGTCCCTTCCTGTAATTAGGCGGTTGGCCCTTTCTTTGCACGTACTCAGCCCCCAGAAGAGCGCGTGGCCTTGGACGGCCGGC